TGGTCTGTCGATTCTATGCCACTGTATGTTGCAACTTTGAGGAGTTCTCTTCACCCCCTCCACCCATATGTAATTTTGGTTCCGGTCAAGCTGGAGTTGCCAAAAGGGCGCCTTTTAAACTTTCAAATTATGTAATTGCAAAAACCGCAGTAAGGTCGTTGGGACAGAAATTGTCAGGACTACTTTCGCGGGTCATGAACATTTTGAAGTTTCCCGGTCAATGAGGACAGCTTGCGGACTAATCTCCGGCGAGTGTTTGAAAGGGGGAGAGAAAAAATAAATGTACGTCATATTTCGTAAGTACTATGCGAAAATTTTCAGAAAAAGCGTCCTCCATTAACTATGGACATAATTCAAATAAATAGATGATAAAAGACTACACGAGTTTGAATTTAATTTTATAACTGTTATGGGGATAGTTCGAGTCTAATTTTCTACATTTCAGTTATTTGACCGTTTCGGAACGTCGATGCAATATGATATCAATAAAAAGCACATGAGAACCGGGGGCAGAAGAAAAGAGAAAAAATAACTTAGGAAGGTAAAGAATGAGAGGTAGAATGCAGGCTTCATAACTAGCCAAACTAAAAGCTGATGGCCGTGATAGAAAGGCAGACGTCGAGTGTAATGAAAAAATTGTAAGAATTTTTTTTAAAAATGGCTTCAGTACAAAGGGAAAATAAAAGATTGGAAGAAGGCATGACAGTAGACTGTCGGGAAAATGACACATTATTGGGAATAATGCCAATAGATACAGGAATGGAAGGTGTTTGTAGTCGAAACACAGGCTGGATTGATTTTAGTTTAGCGCGTTTGAAAATAATTTTTAAATTGGCCTCCCGCCCGCCGTTAAATTTTCGTTTATGGTTTACAGTCTGCAAGCCGTATATTCTTCATTTAAGGGAAATCGGACATTCGTCCGTGCCATTAAAAAGGTATCCAACACTGTTCATAAAATGTCGCGATGGATGCGTACCAGTTTTGTATGCTCCATAAGGAGCATTCGTAAATGCCAAACACCGTGCTTTTCGGACTGACATTTTCTGGCTATAGAAACTGTACTGTTGCAGACTTTTTTAAAGCACCAGAAAACCATTTCTTCAAGTGTACATTTTAGGATGACAGTTTTTTTACCAACAGAGTACAAGTAAGAATACCTCTACGCACGCTTTCTATAACTTATAGTATATTATTCGAGGGTAACGAAACTATACGGAGAAAAATCATGCCACTCAGGCTGTCATTTTTTAACGAAGCATGGTTTTGCATGCGGCCGGAAAGACGTGTATTCAAAGTTTCACACTCAGGCGAGGTTGAAATGGCTTGGGATAATGCTGCATAATAACCAGTATTGCAAACCCACTTAAGTGATCCTCTCTGATCACCAACGGATTTTTGGTTAAAATAACATGAGACTGGCCACGGATTATACAGAGTTTTAAATGTTATATTTGTTAAAGAAAAGACTCGTTTAGATTTCCGAAGGCGTTTTTTCGCTTTCGCTTCAGGGGGCATTCAGGCTGCTCTGCCATAATTTTGCTCAGTAGCGCATCTCCGACGCATTTTCCTTCTTGCGACACTGAGACAGGTCCTTTGGGTGGTTCAGACTACGCAAAGTTTGACCTTCGTCTGCGTCGGTGTCCACCATGTGCTCTGCAGCATGGTGAAACAGGCACAATGACTTGCGCATAAGTTAGTTTGTAGTGAGTATCGACTTTCGCAGCATCTAACGCACTCTCCTCCTCCTCCCCAGCTGGACCCGGGGTCAAGACATTGTCAAAAAGACCGGGGGGGAGGGGGGCGGGTCGGCAGAGGACGCAGGTAGATGACGCGGCCTACCTGCACCTAGGCGCACCACCCCACCTCCTGGCCCAAATCCAACACCTGACCCGGATTTTTACCAACAACTGCAACACCGTGACGGTGCGGATGGGCGAGAATGACTGAGCAGCCATGACCACGACCTGCATACCCAGCGCATCTACCGAGAGGGGACCAGGTGTCAAAAAAAACTACCAGCGCATACCAGGCTGCGAAGGCCAGGGTTTACTGATCCTGACATAGTAGACGCCTACAGACCTTTGGGCCTACGGAAAGGTACAAACTACAGTCGACGTGAGAAATCGTGATTGTGGTCTATATGGCACTGTCAGTGGCATGAATTCGGAGAGGCCTGCCCGTACAAAGGTCGATGTATATGGAAGTTAGGCCGCGTTGGACACGCGTAGAGGGGCTGTTTGGTTTTTCTGGCCGCTGTAATCTCGATTCTGTTTTGTCATCGGAATGGGGCCATGTGCAACTGGGTGTCAAATGAAGTTCGCAGAAATACAAGCAAGCTAACACGCCAAGTCATGACTGCCTACGCCCAATTAACAGTTGTGGAGCTCCTTAACTTCAACGGTAGAAATATTGTACGTATTAGAGATTGTGTCAGCCCTGATTTTTAGGTCATATCGTCTGATTTTTAATCCGGCAGAAATGATGGTGGGGGGTCATCACTTTCCTTTCTGGCAGTTGGATTGGAAATTTAAGAGCGTCAGTACCTCTGTCTGACATTACACGTACCCTCTTTAGAGCTTGTTTGCAATGGAAACTCAAACTGATCCGCACTCACGCATTCCCTCCTGGAAGAATGTTCCCTCCAACCCGACACTCTTTGACAGATGACGAAGCACCGAAGCCAGTAGGTCGGCCCTAGCTCAGCCAAAGCTAGTGACTTAGTTTCCTCATCTTTTCCGTATGAGGGCTTGACGTAAGGTCATTGGGCGTCCCTTAAACGATCCACACCGTGGGTGCGCTGAACCAGCACAGGGACTAGACTGGAGTCCGGCAGATGTTGTCGGGAAGGGGCACGCATAAAAATGTCAATAGAGGTGTGCAATGGCACGTCCAATTGCAGACTCACACCGCGCCAACTGGGATTCGTGACGCCCCTAGTTTTCTCATGAAAAAATCCTGATCAGTGTACATTGTGGACCATGGGATGTGGTGGTATGCCGTCTTACGAGTCTTCGCCTTGTCAGTCACCCGCGCCCTCACCCGCCTCCGGTCTTCCACACTTTGCCTTGACACGGGGCGCAGACGGGGCAGATGCCGTGAAAGTCTGCTACCACTTTAAACTAATTCACGCACAAGTCACCGTCCCTGCTCTCATTCTGCTGTGGAGCACACGGTGGACACCGCCGGTGACGGCGGCCGAACTGTCAGACGCCTGACCACCTCTCACCTCCAGACACAACGAAATTTAAGCCAGAACACTTGGAGGACGGATGTGTGTAAGCTCGAGCTTCGGACTTTGTGGAGCCCAGACTGATCGGTCCGTTCAATTCTGCCATGCTTCCCATTGGAAAATGTAGGTTCAGTGTTCTTGTCTTGTGCCAGGTCATACGCATTCTAACGTCTGAATTAGGCAAGCAAGGTCCTACTTCATGTTAACAAAACGCCATTATCTATAATCTGCTGTTGGCACTTGGCACTTCTGCATTGCGTAACTTCTTCCCCACCCCTTTCTGCCGACTCATCCGTCCCCTCCACAGCTTGTGAGTCAAGAGGTCGTATGCCCAACTTTCGTCTCAACACGATGAGACGGCAGAAACCTCCCCTATGCTTTCCAGCAGGACTTGGAAGTTTGTTTCACAAATGACTTATCCAGCCTCACATCTGGCAAATTACTCAACCAGCGTCGATGTTCGATTCCTTCCACAGACCTCGTCGACTAATCCGATGGACGGAATGACTTTGAGCTTTGATTATTGTACTATCCCACTCAACTGACAAACTGACGGACGAAGCGTGTAGCGATTTAGTTCGGAATTGAATAGAACTAGACTAATTTCGGGGGTTCTGATTCTATTTGTAAATAAATTTGAAAGATGTCTACAGTTATCCGTAGAGAAAATACATATCCGGGTTGGTCGGGTTTGTTTCAGCAAGATGTGTGCTTGTGAGACTAGCGTGAAAAAAAAAACATGGGAAGTTGAGTTAGGGGGAGTTGCTTAGTACGTGAATATCAGGACTTGAACCCGGAGTTTTGCTAATCAGATGTACATGTACTTGACGGGGTTGAAGTTTTGTCTGATGTAGTCGAGCCAGACGAAGGTCTGCGCCAGGTCGCCTCTTGTTGTGAAATGCGTAGATGAGCAACACAGGCCGATAGGAGTGAATAGGTCAAAATATCTCACTGAGGATCAAAAACTAGTCAGACATTTTAATGGACTATGTCGAGTTGGGGTTTGAATAAGGCGCCTCACCGTGGCTTTCAGGGTGGCAGAGAACTGCGCTGAATCCGGCGTCGTGGCGTTGAGCGGTAATCTATAGAAACTACCCGGACGGCTTCAATTCTCTTTCTCAAGTCGTTGTAATGGCAAGTGCTTCCTGCATCATTTGTGTCTACCAACGCCTTCTTCACTTGAAGGATCTCTTTCAGGAAACGCTGGTTGGAAATTCCCATTTTCGTTCGCCCTCCACGCGCATTGGCTAGAAGTCTAGACCGTGTAGGACTGACGTTAGAGTGATTCATCATCATCATCATCATCATCATCATCATCATCATCATCATCATCATCATCATCATCATCATCATCATCATCATAATCATCATCATCATCATCATCATCATCATCATCTGATACTAACTGGACAGCGTCGCCAACCGCTATCTGGGTGCAAGTGATCTGTGGCACACTCACGCATGTGGGGATTGTGGGTGTGCTTTATGGGTAGTGCCTCTCAGTCGACAGTCTCAGTGCCTCACGTTGGATACATTCGGTCCAATGCGTCATCAACCTGACAACGTCTACCACTTCTCCCACTCCCGCCACCCCAGTCACCGCCAATCACGCATGCGAAGTGTGTGTGTGCTTTATGGCTAGTGCCTCTCCGTCGACGACTGTTTGGATACCTAGCCTTGAAGGGCAACGGCTCAGGCAGGTGCAGGGCCACGTGTCACCCTTCTGGGAGTAGAGGTCTGTAAGCGTCTGCTATGCCAGGATCAGCAAACCATGGTCCCCACAGCCTGGTGTGCTCTGGCAGTTCTCTGGCGCCTGGTTCCCTGCCGGTAAATGCACTTGCGCTCCTGCTGGGTATACAGGTTCTGGGCATGGCTGCCCAACCATCCTCGTCTTTCTGACCCGTTGTGGTGCTGTTTTTAGTAGTTAAAATCCTGATCAAAGGTTTGGTGTGAACCAGTGGAAGACCAAGGTTCGGGCCCGCCCGCACCATCCACCTGCGCCCTTTCTTCCCCCCCCCGGTTTTCTTGACTCTCTTTTGACACCGGGCCCAGATGGAGGAAGATAAGAGGGTGCGGTAGATGTTGCGCAAGGCTGCACTCGCTAAAACTAGCTCATGCACAAGTCACCACGCCTGCTTCACCTGCACGCGGCGGACACAGTCGACAACGACGCTCGAACTGTTAGGGGCAATTCCCATCCTTGTATAAATCTTTCGAGAATATGATAAATAGCGTTTTAAAACAGGTCTAACGACCAGATGTCTCCTTGACGAACGTCTGACCGATGTTCGAACAGTTCCGGAAGATTGCTATGAGCACGACCTTGTGCATAAGTAAGACAGCTGAAGGCCCTGATCACAGGAACTGCCATAATTGCAGCTCTCGGTCGCCATTTATTGCTTAAGACAACAGACAGACGGGGATGAAAAAGAGAATCTAGTCTTACTGCTACCATAACTCTACGTACGCCGACTCCTAAACCTTCTTTTCACAAGCGACGTATTCAGAAGACACGGCGTTGTCCAACTGGCGCGTTCATATTGGTTGACATCGGAGCACCTGTGTGGACTGACACTCCGCGGATAGTCTGAACCGAAAGGTTACTCGTGACCGAGTGGCGCGTTAAGCACCGATTCAGGCACGTGCTTGATACGCCAGAATGTTCCACGTCTCCCTCTCGTGCGTGAACGCCGAACACCCAGGCCGGCTTTACAGGAGTAGTTGGTGTCTTCACACCCTCCGGCTTGGTAATCCGGTTACCGAAGTCTGACCGTCGGGGCGGTTAAGATTGCAATGACGACCGTATACAACTGGGACAATAGGGAGTCTTTGTATGAGCCAACGTCGGCGGGAGTGGATGGCTTGCCGTACCTATAAGTAGTTCAAAGCAAGCCACCGTAGACCACCTTCTATACACCCCAGCAGTATTGTGGTCATCAGGTGGGGCTACCAAACAACATCTTACCTAAATATCTAAATACGTGGTAAGTAAACTGGCGGTTAAAAACAGCCTCTGGGTGCATTTAAAAGAACAGAAGTTCGAAAAGTCGAATTGGCAAACACTTTTCTTCAGTAATTCATCATCAGGCCACTGAAATTACACGCAGAATAGGCGTGAGTTTATAAATGTCTCAAGCGTTATTCACACTGGTTCTCACATCGCTAGCATGATGAGGTCGGTGGGCGAGGGTGGAGTTAGGGTGTGCGCGGTGTCATGCACGCGAAGCACGAATGACTGTCATTCGGGGGTCGAGGTCAGAGTGCGATCAAAACCTGGAGCCGACGTCGGCTACGGGAGATAGAGCGCTTGGTCGTTTGCCAACAAAGCGCTGGACTCGATAGCCGAATAACCTCGATAGCCTCGCCTGTTGCTAGCACCCGATGTCATAGGCTGTTGGGATAGTTTGCTGGCGCCCGATAGACTCAGTGATTCGTGTCGAACAGAATAGAACTTAGAATCGATAGGCTTTAGCCTCTACCGAAAACATGCATTTTCCAGTTGGAGATTTCAGGCCTAAAATGGGAATATTCGCAGAAAATTGGTTCTTGGCCCCTGCTGACTGGCAACTGGGGTTGTTGTTTTTAAAACGACCTTCAATCAAATGCTTGTGAATTCACACCTAGAAGGGTTTGGGGGTACTGTCGTCACTAGTCAACCCACAGGTCGGAAAGCAAAATTTGAATACGATTGCTCTACCGACTGAGCTGCCTCCTCCCATCCTGTTGATTAGGATTATTTTAAAAATACTAGAGAGAACTGTCTTGGTGTTAATTTTTGGTTCACCAGAAGTAGACCTCTCATGCCAATGTGAGGGCATTAAATAGAGCAACCTCAAGGAATCCAGCTAAGCTGAAATGGTCTGCGAGAAGTCTTTCGGTACTCACGAAAAGGACAGAAGTGTTTCAGTCGTAAGTTGAGTGTGATACAGGAAAGGATAACGATAGGGTATAGGAAACCCAACTAACGTGAACTAGCCTGTTTACCGTGCCATACGTTGACTGGTGAGAGAAGGGATTTTACGGGTGGGGCAGTACACAGGACGGAGGGCAAGAGGACATAGAAAATCGACAAATTTCTGCCGAAAGTCTTATCGTACGCTGTTGTCTTACAAAGAAAGTGAACGCAACAATAAAAAATAAAAAATTAATTTGCAGAAAATAACGGACTTCAAATGAAGCGGCTCTTGTAAGTTTACATTTAATCAGGAAGAGAAGGAAATATCAAATAATGGGAACGGTGAATAACAAGTGATGTTTACAGTCACACAGAATTCTAGAGTATATTTTTGAGTTGTCAACTTCTTGGGGTCCTACACCTTATCATTACCCAGGGGAAGTAACAAACAGTGATTTTCTAGAGCAAAAAGGAATATTAAAGTGTTCTAGGACATCCTTCAGCCAATACAGAACGTGGCAAGTCCTAATCAGAGCTGCACAACTATACAGGTAGTATCCTAGACGAGGAAGGACAAGGCGGAGAACGCAGTTCTCCTAGTGAGACCGTTCTGAATGGAAAGTCAGGGTGCTGGACATTTAGGAGGAAATTGCGAGCAATTACTTTTTTTCTCGACATGCCTACAACCATTTGTCTGATTGCTTTTGGATTCAAACAACTGTGTGTAGTCAGTCCGAGGTTGGGCATAGGAATATGGACCGCAGCGTATTCAAAGTGGCCTTTCCCCAAATTCCAGGGGGGGGGGGCGAGTAAGGGCCAGAAGGGTGGGGGCTACGAGAGCTAAGGTTAAAGTTAGGACAGGGAAGTAGGTATTCCCTGGAATTTAACTTGAGATCACACGTAATACGTGCGAATCGGTATTTGCGCTCCTGACCCAGTTCGAGATGGAATAATCAAGCGGTCTAATTTTCATCGTCTTCCCTACGATTGGTGGATCCTGCCTCAGTGGGTGAAATAAAGTCAGCCAGTGAACGTTAAGGTGGTCAGCCGACGAGCACTTTCCCATTGCAACTTGGGGTGGGGAGACCATTTTGGCCTACTGAATCTTTTCTTCGCCATGTCTCGTGCTCTCCGGGACACTTCGGTGTTGATTTTTGAAATGGTACAAAGTGAACACCGTAGCCTTGATCCCGAAAATTTCTGCGCGTGACGATACGTGCGTTAACAGTCCATCCTGGATGGAACAAAAAAGATAACTTTTTACGTGGCGCCTTTGTGAGATTTGGGCGCAGGCTAAGAGATAAGTAAAAATCCAGTCTCTGGCATCCACTAATCAGTGAGTAAACACGTTTTCCCATGAAACTGAACTTCGCCATAGCATAGGATGGTTTTCAGTCATCGCAAGCAAGTTGACAATATGGGGTGAATTTAAAGTTCATAGATCAGAATCTTGCCAGCAGTAAATTAAGAAGGAATTTGCAGAATCTGCCAGTCCTGGCACTTTCATCCGAATCGGGAATCCAGGGCCTCTTGGCAGAACACGACTATGGGGTTGTAACCACTCGTTCCGTCAATCATTGCACCCCACACTTCAGTGCGCAAGTAGCTTTAGATAATTAGGCCGCGAGACGAGTGACACACCTTACAATTCCAAGTAGTTTTTTGCCAAGACCGAGCTGGGAGAAGTTGGCAACCTCACCAGATAGAAAGCACATTTTGTCAGCTGCGGGCTTTGCCGAATGCCTAACGATGAGCTGTTAACAAAACTGCCAGACATCCGCGCTCGAGAACTTGCTCTTGAACAGCGGCCCAGAGGAAGCCTAGGCTCGCCTTGTGAGTCCGGAGGAAGCAAACGGCGACCATCAGCCCAGCCGATAGTCACGGCATAGAGTTTCACATCACACCTTGTCTGCCTTCCCAAATGCGCTAATTACTGTTTGGTTATCTGGCCGGTGTTTTTACCCCCCCCCCTCTGCCATCGAAACTGAGTGTTTTCGGTCTATCCAGACAAGGGATTTGTCACTGGCCTACGGCGCAGGGGGGCACTGTTGGTGATGGTGCATATCACTGACGCTAAAGTACATTCGGAGCTACCTGCCCTCTCAAAGGAGTATGCTGGAATAAGGGTTGTACTGATCACACTTTCGCCACGTGCGACACTTCAAGCCAAGGCTGGAGGGGGGGGGAGCCAGTGCAGTGAGTTCGTGCTGTTGGCAGCCCCCCACATGTGCAGTTCAACGGTGGCTGAACCCCTCGCACCCACCTTCACATTGGTCTGCTGATAAGTGCTTGACTTTTGAAGATTGGCACAACTTTTTATAGTCGCACTTGTTTCTGGTACCTGGCATGGCCCTGCAAAACTTTCCTCCAGGGCTCTGGTGTAGGGAGCACGTGCTTAAACCGCCTCCTGACAGATGGTGGTGGTGGCAAACCCTGCTTTCTCCAAAGTTTCCAGAGAACCTGCTGGCGACAATGACCGTGTGATTGACGGGTTGTCGGTACAGACGCTTAACATCAATCCCCTTAATGCACATGTTTTCAGACAAAAACGCCACGTCAGGGGGTGATTTGCTCCTATGGTACTCTCCTAAGCTAGCAACACGTGGATTAGATGTGGCAAAGCAGATGCAAAATGCAATCGTGGCACTGCGTTTTAGAGAAAATACGCAGCAAAATGGACATCCCCCCCGTTTTCCGGTCAAGCCATTCTTAACATATGTTCGTTTGCCTGCCTACGAGGCCCTCGAGGGAGTCTGTAAACGCCTGGTTTTTGCCGCATGCTGACCTGAAATTTTGGTTTTTATGAATATCATCCTTAAAAAAGAAATACAAGGAAACAATAACCGTAGAGAAAGAGAAGAAGTACCGATAAAAATCTTGGAAGCACTAGCTAAGGTCTCATTTCCAATCCCTGGCCTCGAAGTAGGAAACATAGTCCCCACCTAGACATGTTTTTCATGTCTGTAACAAAGAACGCCTCAGCTAGTGGGTTTTAGGATGGCTGGCATGAATGTGAGATCAGATTGAATATTATGGGCAGCTGCGATCGTGGAAATGGATGGCCCCATTACTTTTATTTAGAAGTTCGAGTTTTCTGGCATGTGCGCTTGGTTCAGTTACTCCTCTCCTGAAGGGCAATTCAATAAGATTTGGCTGCAGTATTCGATTCAAATACCCCTTGGCTCCCTCCTAAAAGACTTTTTACAGGAAGACAGGGGACATTTTGAGGTTACAGGCCTGACTACCCTCAGCTGGGACTTTATGGTGATTCAAACTGTTAAAGACATCTCCTTCCGTGAAGATGGTCAGGCATTCACTAAGCTGTTGCAAACTTGGTGGGGGATTAAATGACTTTCCGCGGTATCTTTTCTTCGACTTCGTAAAATTATTTTTAACTGCTCTGCTCCAGGACTTTGGAGGAGGTCAGTTGGCACGTACCTTTCACTGTTGCCCAGGAACGGAATTGCAGCCTTCCTTATGATGATGATGATGATGATGATGATGATGATGATGATGATGATGATGATGATGATGATGATGATGATGATGATGATGCCAGTTTGCTCGCCCAGCCTACTGCAACCGATGGAATCCACAAATTTTGACACTATAAGCTTACTGCCCAAACAGGAATTTCAGTGCAGCCAATCTAAAATTCACCAGATGACATCAAAACTTGATGAAAATTTACTCACGCTGTCCGGAGCTGACGAAATTTGTGAGGAGTTGGGTCATGACTACTGCTCTAGAAAACAAAATTCACTCTCTTCCTACTAGCATCACTGGAAGTCTGCTACAATATTCAAGAAGTTCGGATTGTAATTAGCCAGTTTGTGTGTACTTGAATTTTGAATTTCGATGTCGTGCTACTGGTCAGTACTGGAAACATTCATTTTAGGCGCCGTCAAGTCCCTAATCAGCTTCTTATCCGGCTACCAGGGATCTTTAATGGGGTTACCAAGGACACCAGTCTGCGCACTTTTGCTGGCGGGTTTGTGCGGATAGTTCAGTCCTGGAGAAACAGGAATTTAGCAACCTTTGATCGGATACGAATGCAATGTACTCATTCCTTTTTCCTGATTGATTTTGACGCATTGCTGCCGGTATAATTCATGATGATAGAAGCGAACAGGCGAGTTCCAGGAATCAGTCCCGAAGGCGAAGATGCGATCACTGGGAAAAGAAATTCATTGACAACCGTTTCGGATTCTTACTCGAACCCATCAGCAGAGACGGTCGCAGATAATGGTAATGGTGGCACAGGGAGTGCAGTGTTTATGGCACTTTGCTGCCGTGGGACCATGTGCGTACGATAATGAACAGCTCTCGTGATCACCGCTGGGGGTCGTAATTGATGCGATGATAGCTTATCAGTCCGCGTTCGAGTCGTTTATTGGCGCGATTTCTTCATACGTGTTGGATGCTGGTGTGATGATTGCTCGGCAAATTGGCTCACAGTCACTGAGATAATTGCTCGTCAGCGCCCTTTCCACGTGACTGATTCCCCTGCCCAGGGAAAATCTCAGCAGAAAATACGGTACCGGGAGGTCATTGCGCTTGTTGATGGATTGCGTGCCCTGACTCGAGCAGCTCGAGGCTCCCGCGGTTGTCACCACTTGCGAGGAATTCGGTCCCTTGAAACTTTAAAATATGACTGGATGCCGTCGAATGAGCCGCCACCTGCGCGCTAACATCTTCCCTCCTCACCGTTGCTGCGTGCTCGACCATTCGCGTCCGGACTGCTGGCGTTTCCTGCCGTGGGATATGGTCCCACGGCAGCTACGTGCCAGAAATACTGCATTCCTTGTGCCACCATTAGCCTTATCTGTGACCGTCTCTGATGATGGGTTCGAGTGAGAATCCGAAACGGCAGGCCAATAAATTTCTTGTCCCATTGATCGCATCTCTGTCTTCTGGTAATTCTTGATATTGTCTGTAAGTTAGACGCGATCCAATAACTTCCATATTTGGTAGATTTGACTAAGTACCCAATATATCGAAGTTATTTTATCTAAAATAACTGGATAAAACCAAAAAGGAATCTGTACAGTTGGTTAATAGCGTCCATTGAATAACATTAGAATCGTAAGAAAAACGCTATAAATTGGTATATGTAGGACCAGTGCTTACTGCATAATTCAGCGACGACCTGGGTCTGCGACAAGAGGCATGTGTGTGCGACTGAGGGTACTTTAGTCGCCGTAATAAACAGCAGTTATTAAGTCTGTGCTATAGGGAATTAACTGTTTAAATCGATTCTGGTTGTTTCGTGTCGTTCGGGGTTAGTTCCTTCCCTGCCATGTCCAGCTGGCATGCTCATGCGTAGTTACTGGATCTTGCTTAACTTTCCGCTGGATAGCTGTCATGCTCAGAAAGTCAAATCAAGCATGAACGAGTCCAAACTCGACAAATGCACGTTTATTTCATAATAAAAACCTCATCTGATGAAGGACATCTTACCTCTAATGGTCATTAGGATGTTCTATCCGTCCAGATGCCTACACTGCCTACCTGAAAATAACTATGAAGGTAGAGTGCTTTTCCCTGTTGCTTATTACTTGAGAAATCCTTGTTAAATTCGATGATTACGGCAAATATCCTCACCTCCATCCGCTGCAAAAATAAAGCAAGAAATTATGCGCTTCCTAGATCAGCATAATCTATCTGATGCGCAGCATGGGTACCGTAGTGGCAAGTCTTGCGTGACACACTCGCTCTCCTGTTTGGAACGTTGGACTTGGGCATTTGATGAAGACAGTGCGCCGCATGCAGTCTATGTCGACTTTAAAAAGGCATTTGATAGTGTCCCTCATCAGCGCCTCCTGCACAAACTCAGCCGAACAGGCGTTAGGGGTAATCTCTTAGCATAGCTTCAAAGCTTCCTATTTGACCGCACTCAAATTGTCCATGTCGGTGGACAGCAGTCGACGGAGGTTGCCGTTGAAAGCGGTGTTTCCCAAGGCTCAGTTCTTGGTCCTACCTTGTTCATTATTTATGTCAACGATTGCGCGAGTGAACTGAATTTTGGTGTCGCCATGTTTGCGGATGACATTAAGCTCTGGAGCTTCATTCGAACTGCAGCTGACGAAGAGCATTTGCAAGCGAACATAAACCGACTCAAACAGTGGTCAAAGGACTCGCTTCTGCCGTTCAATGCGAAAAAATGCAATATTCTACGAGTCGGCAGAGCTCGCTCTCCGAACCATATGGCCTACTGCCTAAATGGTATTCCACTGCAAGAAGTGGACTCGCAGAAGGACTTGGGAGTATGGATTACGACCTCGCTCAAACCCTCGCTGCACTGCACGAAGATAGCCAAGTCTGCAATGTCAGTCCTCTACCTTGTCATGCGAGCTTTCTCAGTTCTTGGCGAAGACTGCTAACCTCAGCATCCTTGAAAGGGTTCAAAGGCGTGCAACGAAACTTGTGGCAGGACAGGGTTCACTACCATATGCAACGCGGTTGGCTAACCTTGATCTCTTTCCCTTGAGTTACAGGCAGTTACGGGGTGACCTGATACAAGCCTTCTGTATCATGCGCGGTCAGGACTGCAGCCTCGTACCGGGGGACTTCTCTGAGTTAGCAACCACCGCAAATCTACTAGGCCATCCATTCAAACTACGTGTGACAGGGGCCAGACTGGACACACGAAAGTTCTTCTTTTCTAACAGAGTGCCAGAAGCTTGGAACGCCCTGTCTGTGGATGTCGTTATGTCTGCTTCCGTGGAGGTCTTTAAGAGGAAGCTGAATTTGTGTAGCAGTGTCCACTAAATTACCACCCGATCTGTGTAACCATGACAAATTCCGTGTTATAATACTACTCGCTATATTTCAGTAACATTTCAAATTGAATTTATTATTGTGTCCAACCCATCGCTTTCACTTACTGGCATGCACCTATGCGACTTTTGTCACTAGGGATGTTAATTATTTCGCTGCACTCGAAACTACCACTGAACTATTGCTCGTACTACAAACACTCGAGACAGCTTGTTTATCTGTACAGAGTTGACGCTTATCCGATTATTTGTTATCTTATGATATCTTTTCCAGTTTTTGAGATTTTTCAGTTGCTTGTAACCAAATAGGGAGTTCAAAGGTGAAGACCTGCCTTTCATGCGGTTATACATCTGATTGGGTGAGTTCCCCTTTCTCTGTAGTATGTCTGAATGTCAGGAAATTCACAAATGTTCGAGAACCTTCGCCTAAAGGAGTGGCGTTTCAGTGAGCCTCTAGTTGTCCGTCCACATCTTTGGTTATATTCAAAAGGGTTTTGACGAGAGTAGGAACTAAATGCTATTCCATATCCTACATGGTCAAGACTGGGTTCTGATTCAACCTAGTGCCTATTCTGTCTTAGTACCTGATGGCTTCCACCTTAACTCTGGCCAATTTCTGGCACATCTTGATTCTATAATTGTTATTTTCTGCATTACAGCATTAACTGCATGCTCGTGGTGCGTGCAGCAATGTTATCTGTGACTGTAGCTGGTTATAAGGCTCAAGGGAGAATCCAAGTAGTAAAACGAACGGAATTCATGTCCTTAAGAACACTTCTTCCTCCTTCTCTTCTTCTTCTTCTTCTTCTTCTTCTTCCCCTTCTTCTTCTTCTTCTTCTTCTTCTTCTTCTTCTTCTTCTTTTTCTTCTTCTTCTTCTTCTGCTTCTTCTTCTTCTTCTTCTTCTTCTTCTTCTTCCTTCTCCTCCTGCTCTTCTTCTCCGTCATGACTTCTGTTCTGGAGAGTATCAACAAGTCTGAATGCTGGCATGTGACCCTCCTCTCATTGGCTGTCTTCCAAAACTGCTCAAACAGTTTGGACTGTATGAACCCAGCATGTACTTATACCAAAATTCGATGGGGCACGGTCATAAGCACCCGCCGTATTAAAGGCGGGTACTTGGGGTAAATTCCATGGGCGTTAGAGCTAGGGTTGGGATAGTCAGTTCTAGGACAAGAGCTAGCACAGGGGAATAAGTGCATCCCTGGAACTAAGCATAAGGTCCCCTGCGATATAGGGGGTATGCATTTCCGAGCCCAGCCCAAAATTGAAATAGGTCTCATTCCAACGGTTGCAATCTCACTGAGTTAAGCACGTCATAGAGAAACCGTCGACTTTATCACATGGCAACATGGTTGACATGACTGAAATAACTCAGAAGTGTAACACTTGACGCAGATTTAGACAGCTGGCTGCTTTATACAGATTCGCAGAAAGTGTGAATTGGCGGTGTGACTTCCCATACTCTCCGTGCGTCTTCTTAAGAGTCGGCACTTAACTGTCCCTACTCTCTGTACACGCGAGTGTAAAGAAACTGGTCAATAAAAATGACAAACAAGAGATATCATTGTTGAGGAAGCGTTACATGAGGACTAACCAAGCCGTGAGTGAACCTGACTTCCCAAGACGTATCACCTTTTGGCTGTAGCAGACTAGCACAGAGGTATTCAGTGGAAGGCTAAAAATTCGTCGTAGGTAATTGCTCCACATTTGGAGCTGATGTGTCTGTCCCATGTCAAATGGACCGTCGTTACCGGCAATGTTCACCGCGTGCTCCACAACAGGTTGGGCACGGAAACGGGACATAGGCGTGAATAAGTCTATAGCGATGATGAACTTGCGCAGCGTCTACCTCACCCTCTCCTCCCCCACCCTTCTGAGCCGGATGTCGAAAGAAAGTCGAGGAAACTGGAGTCGGGGTCGTGCGCGAGTGGTCGGCGTGGTTTGAGCCTGCACCTGGGCGTGCCACCATATCCCCATGCATGGCATTTGCGTAGCGTATCCTGATCTGGTCCCCTTGTTGGTTCAGCACAATTCCCGCATGGCGCGTTGTAGGGGATACTGTCTATCCCCCCCCCCAAAAACGCAGGCTTTCACCCACAACTATATGCATGTTTTGCTAGCAGTCCTCCCTGTGAATAGAAATCAAGTAGGCACTAATAAGTCTCGACACTGCACCCGGCAAGCACCTAGGGAGGCAGTCTATCAGGACAGTTGAACCGTACAGTGCACACTTCACCCACTTGAAGGAGCTCTTAGAGACCACGCCTTAAGTTTCGGGTGTAGATGAGTGAGCTTTTGGTTTAGGAAGGGATCCCTTTCTTCGAAAGTCAGTGACGCAAGTCAGGCTGGAGATGCTCGAAAATGGTTCACACGTGCTGGTTTTACGTACTTCCAAACGTCATTCAAGGGCGAAGTCGTGAGAGAGGCCTGAATTTTTGGATTTTTCCAACCAGCACAAACAGTAAAATGAACGTTGTGACTAACATCTCTTGCAACGCAGCCAATTTTCTGCAGGACAAATTGGTGAAAAGGAGTAAAATTAGCCAGTCGAAGTATTTACTCCAGGAAGAGGACACTAGGTTTACACTATTCGTAGATTGCGATTGGATAAGGAATCATTTGCAGAAGCTGATCCCACTTTCGTAGATTTGCTAGAAGCAAACGCAGGGGTCTAGAAAAAGCCGTTTTTTTCCAAATGGCTTTAACAGAGCACGTTCAAAGTTAGCCTTACTTCAGCGTATTCTTTTTGTGATATCAGCCACTTTCTTGTTCAGACTACGATTTATAAGCGCCAGTGGGAATTTCGTAAATCCCCACAGGCTTCTATCTCTAGGAACAGGATCTATGCGCTTCAGTCTGGCTCATAACGGCGAACCAATAGGACCTTGGGAGAACACTGCACCCATGAACGTCTCTGTCTCTGAGTGAGTCAAAGAAAGAGTTCAGCGACCAGCGTTAGCCTAAACTACTTTTTTCTTCATCAAAACGGGGTCTTTCGGGCACCGGCGTGTGAGACTTATAAACTTTTTGGCGCCAACGTATGGACCGCACAAACTTTTCGTCAGATAAGCATTTTCCTACCAACGGCTGATCCCGAAATCCACCTCCTTACTGCTGAGCGTGTCTACCGACAGAGACGAGGGAGACTGGGGTGGTTATTTCTGGCTTATTAGCTGTCGTCAGCCAGTCATACCCAATCCCGAAGTGTGGAACACCTGGGGCTTGAACTCGAGACCTGTTAGTTAGAAGTCCACACCTCTAACCACTGGGCCACGAGCCCGTCGCCCTGCCGGTTTAGATCGGGAATAGTCATTTTGATGGTAAGGGACGTTCAATGAGCAATCTTACGGAACTCACTCGTTCTGTTGTGCCTTACGGGCTGTGTGGCTGCTGGTTGGGCGCTAGTGAGAGCCCGTAAGGCTCAACGGAACGAGTGAGTTCCGTATGAACGATCGGTGAGCGCCCCTTACTATCAAAATGAAACATTTAATGAGGCAGCATCTGGGAAATAGGGGAATTTCGGGGAAAATTACAATCTAGTTCTGTTGGAGCATGTGTAGGGGGTGAGGAATGGGGTAAATCTGCCAGCGAGTTATATCGCAGTAGGTTGGGCGGGCAATTTGACCCAAATTCGATTAAACTCACGGCTCGCGGTCGGGACCTCGTAGTTCATGCAGTCAGACCGTTGCCGTGCTAAGGCCTCGTCGTTGGGGTTGAACGCCCCCGATGCCCTCAGAGTATTCATAGTTGACTCTAATAAATGCAACTTATCAGCAGATTTCCCCCACCCCCCCCCCTTCCCGCCCCTCACGTCCCTGACAGGACTAAACTACTTATTTCAGTCGCTGCTTTGGGCGGATTATTGATAATCAAAAAGGTATGTTCACTGTACTTAACTTCCTCAGTAAGCAAATAAAAAACCGCCCACCAAAACCATGTGCTGGCAAGCATGTACGAAGTTAGATAGTGCATAATTTGTCATGAAAAGGTAGTTGCTAAAATCGTGGACAACTGCAAATGAGCTAGACTTTAATCTAAAATGATTTGTGCCATGCTCTTACAAAACAGCTCTTTTGAGTGGCATTCCCACCAGTTTATTGAACTGCTGGAGGCGCGAAAAAGTCAAACAGAAAATCTGAGGTAGCTATTTCATTTAGTGACTTCAACAGGGGGGCACTAATCGGTCAGAAGTACAGTGGTCTGAAGCTTCGCCGTCACAGACATGCTTGACGGATTTTGGAGTACGCGGGTGAATGATGACAACGACAGAGAATGTCCATAAGCTTGCAGTATTTCAGTGAACCAGCTAAATTCCTATCAATCAGTTTTTCGTCCAAAAATTGTCAAAATGGCGTTACTATGGGCAAAACCGTCTCCTTTGCCATGGAATACTAGGTCAATCAAAGACAAGGGTATGGTTTGTAGCCGGGGTTACTTAATTCGAGGAGCAATAGTGCTGAATAAAAATGACTGACGATATTTTTTTGTACATGCTGGAGAAGGAAATGCAAAAGCCTCGCGGTGGCTGCTACGTGGGGATCGTCAACATGGTTTAAAGTTGTCGTCGGAGTGAAAATATGCCAATGCAACACCCTTTTGACAATGCCTGCGGGGGGGGGGACAGTACATTCATTTACTATTATCAGTAGATAGTAAAAATAGTGTCCCCTCTTTGACTGACGGCAATATGGAAGATCAAAATGTGTCATATCTCGAAGTTCTTAGATGTTCGGCTCCTTTGCTCAACACAAATGCTCCCCGCAGTTAGTAATCGCGGCCATAAATGATACCCGTGCTCATTAAAATATCCCATAGCCTCCACTCTAAGGACTGGCACTTCAGTGAGGCTCTGCTCGACAGTCCGGAACTATGGTAATGGCTAAGAGGCTTTCGGTGAATTCAAAAGTGTTTATTTATCTATAGACTACTAACGTATCTATAGAATAAAAGGGTACGTTGGATCATGCCATCGTTGACTTCAAACAAAGTCTATCGGAACCTAGGACCTAGACAATATTAATCTTACTTCTAACTACGACCTTCGCCTTCTCAAAATCCAGATCCTATGGGATCAAGATAAAACAAAAAATACACGCTGGCGATCATTTGCCAACGACATAAAGAACAAATGTTTAGCCCAATGGTCGCAAACAGAGGTTTCTTTGAATGAGGTCCCTGTTGGCGTGAATTATCGATGAAACGGCTGCTCATTATTCATAAGGTAGGGCACAGGCAATGAGAGTGGACTTATAACTGAATAAAGGCATATTCTGAATTGTGAATCTGAAAAAAGTTGCAGTAATTCCGACTAGGAGGTCTCAAATGTGTACTGCGTATCCAAATTCCTGAAGCCCTCAGCTACCTGTCGCCAGAGTGCAAAGTGCATCTTCTATGAGAGTCACGCACATGGAGCGGACAATCTATGTGCATATACTACCTTGCTGCAATTGAAAGATTTTCCTGAAAATTTGGGGAAAAGCGCTTGCAGAGTAGGGATGGGATGAACGTAAAAGTAGACGTCGGACAGCATTATCACCCAGGTGCCCAGTTTGTGCACAGGCAAAATCACGGACAAATCTTCACCATACAGTAGGTGAGGAAACTCGGGAAACGTGATAATAGACACTTACATGATCGTAATAGGACAAATCAATTTATTTGGTTATGACATTCGCAGGAAGGTTCTTTTTTCTGGAAAAATCCGCATCTAGCTTAGTTTTATCGCGGAAAGGGCTCGCAAATTTGAACGGAAGTCACTGCTATCCTGGATTCAGGAAAATTAATAAATGAATAACCCCTTTGAAACACATCTGCGCACTGATATAAATTAAAAAGTATTGCTCGGACAATAATTGTCCAATCGAAAATATTTTTTTGATTTGCGTAGGTTGGTTGACGCTAGATGTCAACTAATCATGCAAATAAAGAGGTTCGCAACGATCGGGAGCTACAAATCAAAAAGGCATGCATTCAAACCCTGTCAATGTGTCCACACTGACAAAGAAAATTCCAGACGCGAGTCGGTCTGGCCGGACGTCTTGGCAGGATCAAACTACCTCTCATTTCAATACAAGCTAGTACTATCGGCAGAAACATCACTGTTGAGAACGGTCCTACCATTCCATGAAACACAACCATACTCGTGAAGAAGGTGACCCGATCGCTGAGGCAAGAGTTTTATTCGCCCGACGTTTCGCATTCCTACTCGAACCCACCATTACAGACCGGAGGCAACCATCAGGCGTCAGATAATAAAGCCGAAATACCCCTACCACAGTAAGAAACGTTTGGAAACATTTATCGGATTTGGTGCAGTTGCGGAAAAAGCAACCATGTAAGAGAAACCGGAAGACATCTCAGAACACGGATGCCCGAACATTCTGCAGTAGTATGAAGAAATGACGCCAGCTCTCAAGTAGCGGCTCATTCAGCACGTAAAGGGTTACACGGGTGAAAAGCGCTCCCATCGCCAGGGTTGGTAGCTCAGATGGCCGAGCAACTACCCCACCAAAATCCAACAACCGTGATGAATTTGCATCATTTAACGACGTGAATAGTGGCCATAAAACTGTCATCACATCAACAATTCATGATAAAGGTTGGAGTAGAAATCATTCATAGGCATTCGGTGGCGTGATGACTGCATCCTATAAATACTGCAGTCCCGTGTGCATTAAGCAATCCTATCTGTTTTTGTCTCCGATGATGTGTTCGAGCAGGAATCCCAGACCTCAGGCTAATAAAGCTCTTGTCCCAGCGATCGTGTATCCTTCCTCAAGACTGCTTCCTGGGACTCTTCTCTTCGCTTCTATTGACATCCATATTCGTCCCGGTACCAGTAATGTGGGTTGAATTCAAGCCTGCCCCCACTGTGACCGAATTTTATCATCACAGGATGTCCGCGTCGGTCATTTGAGAATTCAAGCTTTACATAGAGCCATATCAGCCATATATGCAGAAGAGACGTCGCCGCCACATCAGCAATTTTGTGGATAAGGGGTTGCAAGAATCTTTCAGTTGATCTCTCAGATATTGTTGACAATGCAAAGTCTCTTGTATACATGATTATTTTGCACCATTCCCATCCTATAAATACAGCATATCAGTCAATGTCTTGGAGTAAATTACAGAATTCCTTGAAAACTCCACCGAAACGACATAGGTCTGCATGGAAGGTAGTTAATTTGCAAATATTTTAGGGGTAACTCCTAGCATGCAAACTGCACATGACAGACGGTGAAACAGGAGTGGAGAATTTTTGAAGTAAAAGCATGCAATATCTTCAAAGCACTTGCACACAAAATGCACAGCAAGAGCAAAGGTTATATACTCAGTTATGAATTACTGAGTTATTTTCGGAAAACACGAAGCCTAAGTGTAAACAAATTTATCGACAGTGGCTCCAGAATGAAAAGAAAAGGGTTTTTCTTCATTTGCAGCAGGGAACATATCACTGTTGGCGGCGTGAATAGGCGGATCAAATATTCCTATTTGTCCTTAATTTAACCAACAATAAGATGAAACACATGAACAATCGTCAGCGAAATAACTCGGTAAAGGACTTTTTAAAGAAGTAGCTTGCTAGGGAAGACACTTCAGTTTATCAAAAGAGTATTCGTCGTAAGTCCTCCCTGTGGACTTACATTTGATCCAGTGCGGATTTTTTATGTTCGGATGGATCAGCAAATACGACTTAAACCCGAATCTGCTTTAAAAACTTGGGTAAATTCTATCGAGAATTATCCTGTATTGACGTAACTGACAGATTAAAACCATAGGACTTGTATTCCTGGACAGTCGATTAGGAACAGTTAAAACTACAATGCGTTGCCTGACCAGAAACTCGACTGATTCCAAGGACACGCAGTAATTTTGTGGAGAAGATATCCTCTCGGTACACAGTAAATCGTATGCCACCTATTGTGTCGGATAAATTTATTCATATTTACTTAACTATTGGTCGGTCTCTCGACATACGAATCTTTTATTTGCTGACGAAATCCTCATTGCATATGTTGATCGCCCAACTTATGGTAAAAAAGTAAAAAAAATTACAACATATTCTCCTAAACCCATTTCGAAATACATAATCAAAAACTAAGCGGTTAAATAACTAATAAAATCTATATTACGTTAGTTTCTGGGGCCATATTTAAATGAATTTCGTGTAAAAATCCCTTTATGATATGGCTTTATTTTGTTTTTTATCTGCGTGGATAACCTATCGTACTTCCAAAATTGCATTTACTCATTTGACATGGACAATACTATTTTCGGCGTATTTTATTGCCATAGTAAAATAATTATATACAGGCGACGCAGCATTGCTTTCAATAATCTTTTAATGTTTTCATTTAACCTAAGATCGTCTATTATTAATTTGGATAATTCATATTAACCAAACTATGAAAAACTCGGCGCCTCGGTGGGATTCGAACGCATGACATTAATGGGAAGGTTTCAGTACAGCCAACGCTCTAACAATCTGAGCTACGAGGCCCCACCGAACGACGCGGGTTTAATCACATTTGGGACGTTACCAGCAAAAACTAGTGAACCGTCTGGAATCCATCAAATCTGATATAGTGAGTTGACTACGCAAGCAGGATATCCTAATTCACCTATAATCCACCAGATGACTACAAGGCTTACGTAATTCATATATGTTTTGGCAGATTTTATGATTAAACCCTCGTCGTCCGGCGGGCTCTCGTAGCTCAGATGGTTAGAGCGTTGGCTGTACTGAAACCTTTCCCTTACTATCGTGGGTTAGAATCTCACCAAAGTGCCGAGTTTCTCGCAGTTGGGTCAGTATGAATCACTCAAAATCTGCCAAAACATCTATTGATTTGGAGTTTTGGTTGATATATTTGGACCGTTTTCTGATAAATTAGAGATGGTTTGTTAGTTTACGCACATTTAATGATTTGATTCCCCTGCTGTAATTTACAATTTAACTTCCACCCTTGTACTTATCACAATACCAGTGCTTGACTCGAACCCAACCTTTCCTGCCAACAAATCTCTTTTCGCTTTCAATGCACACCTATTGTAGGTTGCACTTTCTTTCGAAAACTGGCGAAACCTTCATTCCTTAGATAAACGTTGTTGCAAAATGAGGTCACATGGGCACAAATACTCCAAGATGTGGTTTGCCTACCTCGTTCTAAATCAACAGCTGCCAACTCGCTGCGTCCGAAACGGAATGAACTTTACCCTACTTCCTGCTGAACATGGGCGTATCGGTAGTCAGCCCATTCGCGGGGTAATTTTGGCATCCAGAGTGGTCAGAGTGCAGATACTGAGATCTAATTATCTAGCTTTGCAATCCTTCAAGTTGCTCATGCTGATGTCTGTTTTTATATCATATTTTGCGCTTGGCCAGGTGGTTATGCCTGTTTTTTTCCGCGAAATCTTGCTTCTCTCTAAGTCAAGGCTTCATGTAAAATCTGTTTAAAAATAAGCCGAGTGTATACGTCGGAGGTTTGCTGAAACAAGGAATCGTATCGGTATTGTGAGCGTCAGGCGCTGGCATGGGTTATCAACTCGACTCGTGATTGGATGCGTTTACCTGCCCCCAAATGACAGCTGCGGTGTCCCCGTTAACGTAGCAGCCAGAAGACGCAGATTGAGTTTTGAGGGAGGTGCGACGGAAAATCGGGCCATTCCTTGCCATCACTGACTTTAAACAAGAGTTTATGGGTAATTAAAGACGCCTGTCTCCCAACAATCTGGGTTCTGTGGGTTCAAAGTGAAGCAAAGCCTAGACGGTAGCGATCAGTTGCTAACGAGATGGATAGTACAAGTTAGTGAAATGAACATAGACAGAGTATCTTTTGACTAGGAACCCTATTTGTCTGAATTCTCAATGAGGTGGCTGTGATATTGTGTTTGGAACCGAATTTAAAATATTCCTGGGTTCTGAGTCGGAAGTAAATTAAGATGATACCTACTAGGATGGTTCAAATGCATATTATGCAACGAAATTCCCAAAAACTTCTTTAATCCATTACCAGACTAAATTGATCTCTTCTTGTGAGTTATCCGTATGAAATATCGCTTATTCAGAAAGTGCGTGAGCGCCTTCTCCTACTAATCCGCCCTTGGAGTGTTATCTTCGGTATAACGAACCAACACCTTGTTATCATGCGGAAGTTAGATAGTCAATTCTTGATTGAGGCCCCAGCAGCTGCATAGGTCGAAAGAGAACTTTTTGAAGAAAAGAAGACACGATCGCCTTCTTCTTCTTCTTCTTCTTCTTCTTCTTCTTCTTCTTCTTTAAGACTGCTTCCTGGGACTCGTCTCTTCGGTTCTATTGGAGAAAGAGAACTTTAACGCCTCTACCCTGAGTACCAAACCTACCACTGTTAGAATTGCATTTATGGGTTTTCTAAACAGGGCTGTATGTGCCACAAAACAGCAGTCTGGAGGTCTTACGCAGCGAAATGGGGACCACATGCAATGTCATTTCAGTGGACGCTGAACCGAACACATGCCAGTGGTACTGCTAAGGATAATATTCTGAACGCCTGTTTCTTTGCGTACTGTAGTTGCGAAATACTGTATCTGTCTTCAGAGGTATTTGAGGTGTGCATGTACTTTTTGGGTCAATATGTTTTGCCTTTAGATCCACTGGCTCATGCTTTCCAAACAGACGGCAACTCCCCTCTGAGGAGTAAGTAAGATAAGTTTTCCCTTCAGTCTATAAATTGGAAATCCAGGAGGCAACGTCCCCGACGCAAATTAACAGGGCTGGTGGATTGATTGTGTCTGAGAGAAGCTTTAGCCAGTCTACTTAGCAGAAATCAGTAGGATTTATTTGCTTCATACATCGCATAGTGCAGTAGAGCAATTTTACCTCTTGCTCCTAGTTCGCAACTTTTCTCACTAGAAGAATTGATTGACAAAAATGGATTGATTTTTAAGATGCCAATTTCAGGTATTTTGCTTTTCAGAGCTGTACCACCGGTGTATCAGCATGTTAGTCCTACTTCTTTTCTATTGCCGGAAACCAAACTTTTTCGGACATCTTTTGTAGATTCACAGCTATTTGCGAAGGACGGTCATACTTTTTAAAAATGAGAACCTACGGAGCCAGAAAGTTAGTCACGATACAACAATTTTATCCGCTTATTTAATTCTCTTTCAACAAATGTCAGCGTAATTTCCTCAGCTGTCTCAGAAGTTAGCTTAACTTCTAGTTTTCCATGTGAATATTTCCCTCGGCATTCTGTTAGCTAAAAGCCCTCTTTATGCGCTTAAGGTTTATTCCACCCATTCTCATAAATGAATCTCTAAAATTGTACACTAATACAATCGTTTTTCACCGCAAGCTTGATTAACCTATTCAGGGAAGTGTCTAGATAAGCTTTGATACTTAACAACAAACCACCCATTTTACTTATCTAAACTGAACCTTTGAAGCTAGTTGTCACTTTCAGTAGGCCAGTCCAGTTAGAATACGTTTCCTTGCTCGTCGCTGCACACCAGGTCTATAACTCCCTCGATGGCCGTTGTCCCATCCCATAATACGGGCGAAAAAGTGAAAAAAATGGTGGTTTGAGCTTTTACTGTGGTCATCTTCAGAAACCTCAGCATTTCTTCTAAAATGAAGACAGAAATAGTTTCCATGCAGACGGAAAAAGTAACTGAAAGGCTGTTTTTCCTTTCCATTTAGTTGTCGTCGTAATATTTGGCGTCGAATTCTCCTCTGTATGGGCTGTGATAGATTCCCATAGTGAATTTTGGCTGTCTCGGAAGATGGAGATTGCACTAAAAAAGAAAAGAAAGCCACAAGTTTTAGGAGCAATGATATAATATTCATCCACCGAGCTTCAGTGGTTTTCCGATTTGGCGAACATAAATTTATACGTGTTTATAGGTGTTTTTGGCAGACTTCACTAATTTTTTGACCCGATTGTGAAAACTTCGGCGGCCTCGATGGGATTCGAACCCACGACATCAATGTCAAGGGTTGTGTACAGCCAACGCACTGAACAATTGAGCTACGAGACCCCGACCAGTGGGTTTGAATCCCACAGAGGCTGACGACTTTTTAATGGTTGGATTGGCTCAGTTATATGTGTGTACTTCCAGTCATTGTGTAGATATTAATTCGTAAATATTTAAATGAACGAATTAGTCGCTAAAACATTTGGGAGGAATAAAGATTGGTCGGCTGAATCATACTGTTTCAAGTAAAATTACCGAAGCAGGTACCAAGAAGGCGAGTAAACGTAAAACTTGAAAATCAGGAATCAAGTAAATGGTGTACATAGCTTATTTTACAGACTAGGCAAGTCAGTCATCATGAGTATCAATTTCGCTTACTGGTAAGTTCAACCTGACTACGTTTAACCTTCAAATATAACAGAACCCCATTAATTGCCAGCACTTACGTCCTCTGATCTGTAAGCATCAGGTCCAGGCGTAACGTGGGGTTTGATTCCTGTAAGATGCGCACCCATGGAGTACTTCGGGGCAGCATCCATAACCAAGTCGGGAGAGCCAACAGTGTAGTCAGCCGGACCGGGATTCTATTTCAAGCATTTACAAAAAGCATTAGTAAAAACTCTACTTAAAAGCCAAAACACTATTCATTTCTTGAAAAAAACATCCGTAGATAAGATGCCTGAGGCGTTTTTATTTGTCTGCACTATAGTCTGCAGTTGAAACGCAAGTTAAATTAAAATTTAATATTTGGATACTCTGCTTTATTCCATAGAAGGACCAGAAAATGATTTTTTTCGTTCCTCGTCTTTAAGGACAGCACAAAATCGATTTTGTTGAGCTATCTTCTTAAGACGGATTTGAAATACAAATTAAGAGATGCATAGCCGACGTCAACAACACGCCAAAACTATGTTGTTTACTCCTAACGCCAGGCCTAGATACCCGTTTCAAAACGGACTTTGAGTTATGACATCAATAAACTGTTCTTGACTGAAAGCAGTTGTAAAATAACAATGAAAAACGAATACTAAGTTCCAAAAGCGAATTAAATGATGGCATACCTTGGCGGGAGTCAGACCCTCAAGCCGACTTGCAAGTGTGTACTTGGGAGCCGATTTATTTTGACTAACGATATCGGGCGTAGGCATTGAATAGGCGTTCGGTGCTGAAAAAATTAAAACTTCTGTTAAGTTTCACCTATGCCAATCACTCCTAAACTATAGGAATAGGATTTTGTCCCATGATATCACTGATAGTTGCCATCGAGTAGAATTTTCAATTTAGCAATTCAATTAAACACTAATAGGGATCTAACCATTGTTTGTAAAAGCTTTACTATGGCAGCTGAAGCCCACACAATAAACCATACAGCAGAGGTAAATGCGAATGAATAATTCCAGGAAACAGAATAGATATTCCTGCTGGCACATTCCCCCACCCTAAATACTAGGCTAAATTGATATGAAGGGGGTCATGGCTCAGTCAGAGAGGTTATCTGTTTTTTTGGCACAGTACGGATATCATTGGTATTTTCCTTGCATAAATCAAGTTGCAGCCGAAGTCGTACGAGCAAACTCCTACTCGTCATTTTTTTCGAGGATCCGCTATGCACTGGGTCCCCTTTTGGCCAGTCGTTGGCTACACCGTTTGTCCTAGTCCACACGTGGCCTAATAACTTTTCAGTTAAGCAGTACTTCCAGGCTCCATAACCCTGTAACTCCCTGCATATGAAGCCTTTTATTCTCCAGAATAAACACGATTGAAGGCGAAATTTCGAGTTCCAGGTGTATGCATAAGTGAACAAGAAGAGTCGAGCACCAGAACACTGCATTTATTGTCCTGAGCTTTCAGACTTGCGTAGGGTTGCTCGCATATGACGAGCAAACAATGACAGCAAATCTCAGTAACCTTTCGAAGTGTAATTAGGCCTAATAGAGGAAAACTCGCCTCTTCCCTAAGTGACTTTGGTCGATCCAAAATGAAGGTTTAATTTACTAACTTTAAGCGCGGAGATTGAAAATGGGGACTGAAATCAGCAGGGGTAATGGTTAATAAGCTGGGTTTCGACGGAAAAGGGGGTCCTTTTTCCATATATCACCATGTACTACTTTATTCAGAGCCTTCTTAAGTTCCTTATTACAACTTGATCCCCAACTTTCTCTTGATGGCCACCCGAGCATACAAAGACAAATAATGACGGAAAAAGGCAGCGCTAGGCGAATAACTGTCTGACACAACGATTTTCTGTTCACTGGTCAAAAAAATTTAATGCCTTGCACGAACATAAGCAGAAATCACTCCAAGCCAACTCCACTCACACTCTGCTCAGACGCGCATTATAATGTTGTATTTGCTCGGCCTCATAGAAAATCCAGTGACAAAGGAGAAAATAACACCTATCTCCAACAGAAACCTGATCTTTGCAGTAATCACCAGTAACTCAACTAACTATGTGACGTCACATTAGTAGCACTCGGAATACACAAGACAATTTATTGCATTGACACATACAAGATATAAAAAGTGTTTTTAGTGCTTACTGGACACTGTAAGCAACAAAACATAGTCAGTAAAAGCAATATCGCCGATACCGTCATCTAATTTTAGAAATGTTATTTTCTTAACATTAATCAAGCTTTTACTCTTCCAATTTTGAGAACAGCAAAGATGATGTCGTAATTGTTGAATGCGTCAGAATCGTCAGCTCGGCCAGC